CACAGGGGCTTGTGTCCTGTGCAAGTACTCACAATTCCCAGTAGCTCTCTGAAGCTATGTACAAAATGACTGTTGAGTTGACCTGCAGGGGAGTCAGAGTGTGGGGGATCCCAGGCTGCCTGAGCACATGTACATTCAAGCACAGGGTCTTGGCAGGAATCTAGGAGCAGACAATGTGAGTTCTGGAGACAGAATTGGGGCCTCTAGAGAGGTGCTGGAAAGATTTAGGCATGGGAGTGGACAAAAAAAAAAAAAAAAAAAAAAAAAAAAGAGTCGATTACATGGTACAGTTATCTATGTAACAAAAAAATGTGCATTAGTAACAGGTCTTAAATGCAGGAGAAGTGCAAGAACAGTTAATTGGCTGGATGATGAAGTAATTGGTTTCACATTAGGGGATAACTGTAAATACCATTGTATATTACAATGAGTGTACTTTACAATGATTAATTACTCTTGCTTTTAAACAGCACTTGGTTTCCACTGCAAGCAGTTTATGTTACATACTAATACAACCATGTTAGTCTTTGTCAGTGTGATGTCACGGCTGTGAACAAAAAGGCTGCATTGTATTTAACACTGATTTAGAGAGAAGTTGTGCTGCTTTTCAGTCCTTACACATTACACAAGTTTTGCAGATGCGCTTTTCTACACTTTCCAGTCCAGTATTTTTATCTAAAACAAGCTGCACGCTAAACACTCTTCTGTGCTAATTCTTAGTTCTAAGTGCTTCACAATTTCCTCATTATTTTACTAGTGTCTTTGACACGCTGCTACATCATCGAATCATAGAATGGTTTGGGTTGGAAGGGACCTTAAAGCTCATCTAGTTCCAACCCCCCGTGCCATGGGTAGGAACACCTTCCACTACATCAGATATTTCTACACACTGTGCTGCCTGTCTATAGCCAGCTGTTCTCCAGTTGAGTGCTTGTTTTCCATCACTAAGTGCAGAGATGACTAATCTTCCTCAGTCATAATTATTTTGACTGAACTCATGTACCTGCAGCCACTGGAACACAGTTTTGGCAACTAGTACTTTTTCCATTTCCTCATTTTTCTTCATTTCCAATCTCAAGAGTCAGTTTGGAAGGCATCTTGATCAAATGAGTCACTGAAATCAGCTCCACAGTTGAAGGGATAGACTGCTTTCCTTTGCAATTGCTTGGTGTGTAGCTACCCATCCAACTCTAGGGAACGAAATCACAGCTTGTTGGTCAGTTAACAGATCTATGTCATGGAAATGACAGAATTCTGCTTAATTTTCACAGAATAGGATAATTTCAGCTGGAAGAGACCTCCAGAATTGTATAGACCCTCCTGCTCAAAGCAGGGTCAGCTAAGAGCCAGACCATGTTATTCAGGGTTTTATCCAGCCTGGTCTTGAAAACCTATGAGGATGGGGACTGCCTGGCCTCTCTGGACAGCCTTTTCCACTGCTTGACTTCTTCTTGTGGAAGAAGTATTTCCTTATGCCCAGTCAAAATCTTTTTTTCAATTTCTGCTTGCCGTCTCTCATCCTTCTGCCATGCACCACTGTGAGAAGCTTGATTCCGTCTTCTTGATCACCTCCTTGTAGTTACTAGAAGGCTGCTACTAGGCACTTCAAACGTGATGCGAGGGCCAGGAGGCTGGTGCAGGGGAGTAGCAGCCCTTCCCATCTGGAGGCACCCCAGAATCTGCATTCATTCATCCCAGGATTTCACACGGTCTGTACTGCAGAAGCTACCGATTTTAAACAGCACTGCCATGTGCTGCTCTTGCCTTTCCTGTTACCTATGAACTAAACCCAGTTGAGGAGGCTGCCTGATTCATTCATGTCTTCCTGGGGATACTGTATAATGGCATTAAGAGGTTTTCCTTGCCCCCCTGCATGCCCTTTTCCCTGAAGTGTTAGCAAGTCCCACACTCCTCACCTTTGAGCTCTAACACTGTTGAGCATCGTAGCACAGTGGTGAAGTCACAGAGCTGCTGAGCAGGACAATGTCAAGGACTGACTAGAAAATGGAAGACAGATGCCACAGTGGGAAGAGCACTCCATTAGCAAAACAAATACCCTGTAAGATGAGTAGGAGACCCAAACTTGAGATAAGCCTGGGAAGAATTTGCAAATAGAAGCCTGGCTAGTGCTGGTAAACCATACAGAGATTCTGTATTTTAGGTCCAAAACTATTATGATGGTAAGGTTATTTTAGACAATGCCGAGACATTGAAATAGCTGCTTTGAGGAGCATGAGTGCATGGAAATGTCATGCTGATATTGTCACATGCTGGACTTAGGAACATCTTTGTTTTCACTCTTATTTCCTTATGCAGGTAAGCCTGCAACTTACTTGCATCAAATTAACTGTAGTCAGACAGATAAGGATTCCACACAGAGAGTTTTGATGCAGGCCTAGACTGGCCCCAACACTAGGACTTGCATCACAGGGGTATGATGGAGGTCCCTGAGACAGAGCAGAAAGAAAATTCTGTTACTAAGAGCCTAAAATGTGAGTGAAAAAAAATTAGTGCCTTCCTCCTACTGCCAACAGCCATAAAGTCACCCGAGAAAAGGTACCTACAGGATAACCTGAGCTCTGAGGTACACAAGGACTTATGCTCTACTCCTCTTGCTATCCTGTCCCTACACTTGACATAGGCACTCTACTTCTGCTTGGAAGATGAGTAGCTGTTTCTCCAAGGTCTGAGACCACACAGCAGCACATCTTGTAGCTTAGCAGGATAGGCCACAGAAATGAAGAGGCAACTCCTAAGATGGGAGTCATTGGCCAGACTGCAGTCTGACATCCTCGCCACCCTCCTGCCGCATATCTCCTCTCCCTGAAGGAGAAATAGGCAATTGCTCGGTATATCAGAGATTGCAGAAAACCAGTCACAAGATGTGCCTGAAAGCAGCTTCATAGAAGAGTCTTTAACAGCTCCCAACAGCCAGTTTGAACCCACCCTTGAGCAAGTACATTTCTCCAAGATTAACGGTATGCAGAACTGCTATCAGGTCAGCCATGTTAAGCCTTGAAATGTGCTTGTAAGCACACAAAAATGGGTGCCATATGCATGATTTTAAGTAAAGTGAAATTGCCTTGCTAGAAACCTTCACATCCCTGTACTTCCTGAGGACTCTACTGTACTACCTCTGACCCGCACAAAGGCCCATGACCAAAAGGGATACCGGTGTCTCATTCTCCATAGCAGGGCAGAGGATAGGATGGCTGAGGATTCTGGCAGGCACAGGCAGGGCCAAACTCTTTAATGTATTTCATTACTCCCACCACCAACATTATACCTTCAGTGCATTTACCTGCTGCATTAATTCGTCAACTGGATAGTATAATCCCACAATTTATTCAATTGTGGTTGTTCCCTTTTACAAAGATATCAGAGTAATTAAGCTCAAGAATATACTTGCTTTCATTTCTCAGCAAAATCCAGAGAATTAAATAGGACTGGGTTATTTCACTTGACTGTAGTGGGCATCCAAGGCTCCAGAGCCATATGTCAGCTCTGGTAAGAAGTCTCCAAATTATTTGGTTATGCTTCCAAATTAATACCCAGTTTTCCAGCCTGCTGTTCATGAACTGCACTTTCAACCCCTGCCTGTTTTGGGGATGGGTAGTTTGGCAGGGGGCCTTTTTACATCAGGCCTGAAGCAGAGACAATATACAGTCCTGCGTTTGTCCCCACTCCTGTATCTGTCCCTCTTCCAGCTTCAAACCTACATGTGCCTCAAGAACAGCTTTCTGCAGGCAAGCTCAAGCTCTCAACAAAATGGAAGGGTAGAAATTTTCAAGGGTCAGTCTCTCCATTATTTGTAATTCCTCTCTCTTCTGATGCCAGCCACCAACATCTGCCCCTTCTGTCTGAACTGACCTAATGACCTTTTCCCCCTTGCTTTTCATAGAAGACTTCATGATCACAAAATCTGGGCAAGCATAGCAAATATTCCACCGTGGTTCATACAGGTACTATGCTCTTAGCCAAGGGCACAATAAACTGCAGGAACAGATTCTTCTTTCCACCGTGGTTCATACAGGTACTATGCTCTTAGCCAAGGGCACAATAAACTGCAGGAACAGATTCTTCTTTCAGCTCAGCAAGTGAGCAATAGAAAAGAGCAAGTGGTGCCTTTGCTGCAAGTGGCTCTGCAGGAACTCCCTTAACCTGAGATGAGAATTATTTCAAGGAGCCAAGTACACATCCGAGAAACATTTAAGTCTCTCTGGAGACCTGGCATGTAGCTATCAAGTCAAATCCTACACACATCTTTTAAGGCTTAGGCAAACAGAGAAGTAACCCTAAATGGCTGAAAACCCAACTCCTACTTTAGCAACTCAGTTTAGGGTCATCTTAAACAGATGCATACTAGTAAGCATATGAAATCCCTTTCAGAGAGGACAATCAGAACTCTTCACAAAGCAAGCTGCTTCTCTAAGGAAATACCCCGGTTTGACATTGGCATAAGCAGTACAAGGTAAGAATACAGCAGGTGGCCTCTGAGTAAAGTAATATTCCTGAACTACTAGAATACAGCAGTTTGTCACAGTAAAAAGAGCTCAGTTCAAAGTATGACTAAAACACTGTAAGTAGTGGCACGAGGCACAGGCATTGTAAAAAGTCTGCTGTGACTAAAATTCAGTTACTAGCTCATAGAAGAAATACGGCCTTGTTCCTGCTTTAAGTTGCATAAATTCAAGACCCTGGGAGTTCTAACTGAAGGGAAAACTGGCACAGATCTCTTGGAAAAAGCTGAGCCACAGTTCCCCCTTTAATTTCTCGGAGTCTTGACTACATGTTCATGTTTCACAGCTGCTACACATGTAGCAACTTGAAAAATGCATCATCTTGTCTTTTTCACTCCCCTTTGCTTTTCCTCAATACAAGTTGATTTTAAAAGTGGAGAAGAGAGCAAGATTAACACAAGAGCCAGGGAAACAATACCAGATAACCACTAGTTTAAGTGATGATTATTAAAAATAAATCACTATCAGAGTTCAGTGACATGACTGCTATTCCATTTATTTAAAAATCAAACTTTTTGTGAGCTGGGTTCATTAAACACTTCATTTTTATACAGACAAGTTCAGCAAGGTTGATAGCCATAGCATGTGCCAGTTTAGAGGTAGCTGCGTAACAAAGCAACTTGCTAGCACTTCACATTTTGTACAAAATGGAGATGGACCTTTTTTTAAACAGTACAAGAAATGTTCCATCACAAGTGATTGCTTGGTGATACCAGGGAGTATTGTTACCAAAATTCACCTGCAGGGACAACAGATGTCTTCCCTGTGACCCCAACTAGGCCACAATTCTCAGGTCAGATATGTTTAAGTGAAACATTTTTAAACTATTTAGTATCGTATGTTGCCTCAGGCACGATATTTATTTAACAAAACAGAGGAAAGCAGCGACAGTCCATTTTATGTTTTAATATACTGAGTCTTCTTAAGTGTTCATATACTGTCCAGCTTCTTCAGGATAAAAGGAGCTGAAAAGAGAAAATAAAGCAGCATGGACTTAACTCAGCTGAAGAGAACAAGAAGTCTGCAGTGAGTCTGTGATGAAACTACTGCACACTTACATGGCATCTAAAATATTCAGATTCTGGGTGAAACGCCACCCTCTACCTCCCACATAGTCCCTTTTCTCCCTGCATGACTGCTTTAACAAGTGAGGCAGCATGATTCATGGGGGGGAATCAGGTATGCCTTCTTGTGCTGCACGTCAGAGCCTTGGTCCTGTTCTCGACACCACCGAACGGGTTGGGGTGGAGGCGAGGGAGGAAAGAAAAAGAGTGACCCAAACATGACGTCTTGCTTGCTAGACAGAAGGGCATCCTGGAGGGAAAGTTGCAAGCCTCTGATGCAACACACTAACGCACTGCCTACGAGACAAACAGCATGCCCCCGGCCGCTCCTGCTCGAGAAGGCTCAGAAGCGCGGCTGTTGGCGCAACACGCGCTGCAGGCCCCGCCGGCGCTCTGAGGCGCTGCGGGGATGCCGAGCCTCCCCCGCTCCCCGGGGACGCGCCCAGCCCCCGGGACACGGAGCCCCGCGCCGGGCCGTGGCGGCTCTGCCCCGCCGCCTCCGCGGGCACCGAGGCGGCCGCGAGGCCGCCAGAAGCACGGACGCCCCGACGGGACGCGAAGGGGAGGCCGCTACCCCGCCGCGCCCGGCGGCCCGCGCCGCGCCGCGCCGCGCCGAACAGAGCACTCACTGATCCGCAACAGCGCGACGTAGATGAGGAAGTTGCGGACAGAGGTGAGGACGTCGCGGCGCATCTTCCGCTTCAGCTCCTCCGGATCCATCTTGGGCCCCAAGCCCTCGATGCGGAACATGCCGACGGCCTCCGCGCGCTACGGCTCCCGAGGAGGGACAGGCACGGCTGCTGAAGCCGCCTCGCGTCGCGCATTCGCACGGAGCTCGGCGAAGCCGTGGCCCGGAGTGGGGCGGAGCCGCGGGGCGCTGGGGGCGGGGCCGCGGGGCGCCGGGGCCGGCTCGCCAGGGGTGGGGGAGCCGTGTCTCGGTCGCTGCCCGCGGGGCGACCGGGGCTCGCGCGGCCCCCGGTAGCGGGGCGAGGAGCTGGTAAGCGGGCCCGCGGCCTCGTCCCGCCCGGCTGCGGAGGAGCCTCCCGGAAACGCGGCCCGCGGCCTCGTCCCGCCCGGCTGCGGAGGAGCCTCCCGGAAACGCGGCCCGCGCCTGGGCTGCGGCCCCTTTCTCCTCCTGGAGGGATCGCAGCGTCATCTTCGGCAGCCAGAGGTGCTGTCAGGAGCGCTGGCCGTGGTTGCACCTGCTTGTGCCAGGCCGACAGTACAGACGCAGGGTTTGGCCAGGGGCGGGGAACTCGGGGTTCCTGCAGACAGGAGTTCCTCTGGTCCTGCCTCCAGCAGCGTGTGCCTCTTTTGCTCCTGACAGGTTGCAGACAGTAGTGTGCTGTTTCTCGTGGCGAAGAGGACAGGGATGGGTCAGTGATGAGGAGCTGTGACACCTGAGTCACTGCTCCTCCAGGGCTGGAGGGCAGCTCTCTCCACCCTGGGGCTAAGATTTACAGACAGAGCAGCCTTGAAGTGGCCTGTTCTGGTTGCCCCGTGCATGTGAACTCTGGGAGACTTTTTGCTGGCAACACACTGGCACAAGTGCGTTGAGCTTGAGTTCTTCTGGTTAAGCATAGCTGTCATGGAGGAGACTTACGCAGGAACCTCTCTCCTTTGCCTAGTGCCTTCCCTTAGAAGGTAGAGAGTAGGGAGCAAGCACAGAACAGCCCTACATAGTAAGGCACAGAGAAACTACAATGCCTTTCAATTCTGTTGCAAGTAATAGTGCTTGGAACATCTATTACTGACAAGGCCTGTGACTAATGATTGGCCTGAGCGGCTGGAGTTAATGTCTGAGCAATAGGTACCAGATACTTGTCTTGGGAATAGAAGTGCATTGTACAGCTCTGTCTATGGGAAATAGACACAGATGAAGCAGAGCCTGCTTTTGCACATCACACCTCACGATACATCAAAGCACACCACAGTATGACAGTCTCAAACGCAGCAGCTGTGGACGAGTGTTTGCATCTCCTGCTGCAAACCCCACTGGCTTCCCAGTCTCTGTTAGGTGTGCATGAGAACACACTCCTGAAGTGAAAACTAGTCTTAATGTGCTTGATATCAGGGGAGAGAGGGTTATAGCCACACCATGAAGGGCCTTAGTCTCTGAACTCTGCCAAGTGTTTTCATTCTGGGCAATCTATTTACAATTAGACTTAATAGATATCTGTATTTCTCTAATTGGAGTCAAGAATTCATGTGACTGTGAGTCAATGTGCATCTGGCTCTACTAGCTTTCCTGAAATATGCACCGTTGTCTCTGGTATCACTGCTGATCTGCAGAGTTTGTTAATGCTTCAGCAAGTAACTGACTTATCTGTGCTGCTTCATTTAGTACACAGGAGCCTTCACCCCAGCACAGAAACCCATCATGCAAAGTCTTGAACAAAGGCAACTCCCATTCCCAAACAAGCCCAGGAAGATGGTTGGAGGCCAGAAATATTTAACAGGTACAAAGAGACTGAGAGGGACAAGGATCTGGGCTTTGGAGAGACCCCTTGTCAACCACAAAGCCACTTCTCTGGGAGTTGGAGTTCACAAGAAGATGAGCTGTGGATGAGTTTCAGTCAGGATAATGGATGACCACGAATGCTGACTTGAATTGTGCCCTTTTTTTAGGGACAGGAGCTGTTTCAGGCCTGAGACCAGGCTTACCCAGAGAACTGTGCACACAGTCCTCTGGAACTCTGTCTGCACCATGCAGGCTTCAGCCAGCCAAACTCTGTATCTCCTGCCCATAGCAGGCAGGTGGCAAGGCAATGTTTTCAGATGCACTCCTCAAATGACAGGAATGCTGTCAGAGATGCACACAGGTGCTAGTGGTGCCTGGAGATGATCAAACAGGGAGTGTCTCGTGACTCTCCACCAGCCCCATAATATGTCTGGGTTCTGCAGCCCACCCTGCTCTGCCTATGCTACTTGGGACCAGGCAATGCACAGCATGCAGATAATTAAAAAAACCCCAGATTTCTCTCAGCTAAGCTGTCTATGACCTGAGGCAAAGCCAATTACAGAGCAGCTGTTTTAATTGTGCCAGTGATTAACAGGGCTAATTGCTTCTCCCACTGGCTGGGGGAGCTTTTCTGCTTTCTGTGCTACCTTAAGGGCCCTTCTTGACTTTGCGAAGGATGGCAAAGGATGAATGTTCCCATACCACCCTACTTCCAGCATATTTACAGGACATTAAATCCCAATCCTCAGTGCAAATGAAGGGGCAACTTCTGGTCACAGAAGTTGTAAGGCTGCCTTCCAGAGAGCTTTACAGCAAGGCTCTGGAGGAAAATACAATAGAGCTGCCCACATCTGCAGATGACAAACTAGCCTTGTTCTGCTGGCTTCCAGGAAATCTTGTTGATTTGCTCAAGGTTTCATTCTGAATAGTGGCTTTCTCTGGTCTTTGCTAGCAGAAACAGATTGGCAGGTACAAAGCCCATCTTGGCAGGAAAGCAAGAAGTCTCATCCTATATTTCAAGACTCCCAGTCTTGGTTTGTATGTCTGTCATGGTTTAATCCCAGACAGCAGCCAAATACCACACAGCCACTCACTCACCCTCCCCCATCTCAGAGGATGGGGGGGAGATTTGGAGGGGTAAAGGTAAGGAGACTCATAGGTTGAGATAAAAACAATGTAATAATTGAAATAATAATAATGTTAATAATAGAATATACAAAATAATAATGCACAATGCAATTGCTCACCACCCATCAAACAATGCCCAGCCTGTTCCTGGCTAGCGGTTCCAGAGGAGAGAAAATTCCAAAACTGCAATCCCAGAAGGGAGAGCGAGCTTCCCAGCCAACCCTCCTCTATATACTTAGCAAGACATTTTATGATATGGAATATGCCATTGGCCAATTTGGGTCTGGTGCTCTGGCCGTGCTCCCTCCCAGCTTCTTGTGTACCTGCACACTAGCAGGACATGGGAAGTTGAAAAGTCCTGGATTTCTTAGCAACAACTAAAACCATCAGTATATTACCAACATCCTTCTCATACCACATCCCATACTGAATCAAAAATGCAACACTATTCTAGCTACTGAGAAGAAAAATTAACTCAATCCCAGCCAAAACCAGGACAATTTTAAAAGCAGAAGTTATGCTGTTTTCCCAAGCATTGCTCTGGAGAAGATAAAGGAGCTTGAGCAAATCTGGGCAAAGCTGAATCAAACATGAAACAGTATTGAAAAGTGACTGGAGTAAGAAGACAAAAAAAATGCTGTTAAGAAGCAATGTGAGCAAGGACTCTGTCAGGACATTGACTGGAAATTTGCTGCCACAAGTTATTTCACTGGAGCCACCCCATTCTCCTTGTCCTTTTGTGAGGTGGGAGTGTGAGAAACTTTTTATTTGGGAGACATCCACATTAGAAACATAGGAGACTTCAGGTCTGGAGTGACTGGCAAGGAACAGAAAGCTTTGGTTTTGACAACAGGATGAACAACTTCCTGAGCTGTCCTTGAAATATTTGTGGCAATTTTCCAGAATTCCCTCAAAACTCCGAACTATGTAGTTTTGAGAGCTCATACCATGTCCTTAGTTTTATTCAGTCCTATAATTACATGAGAATTTTGCCGTTCATTTCCTGGGGCTACAGGCAGATTACTAGCCACTGACCAGGCACTGGCTTGAGGTTAAGGTCTCTGAACAGAGCATGGACAACTGCACAACTTGGTATGTGAAATGTCTGCGTATGGCAGGTAACAGTGTGAAAAGCTGACAAAAGTTGCAGATAATGCCACAAGGAGCATCTAGATTTCCCAAGTGATTATGGAGCAGTGATGTGAGGAAGGGCCAAACTTCACAGGTAACTGGAAAGAAGCACCGAGGTCCTTCTGGGGCAAGGCCAGCAGTTCCTCAGTAACTGTCAATAATAGCACATCATGCCAAGATTACCTGGTAACAGTATCAGAAATACTGAACTGGACACAGATGTTAAAAAAAAAAAAAAAATCATGATACCAATGGGGAAAAAATAGAAGTCAGTTGTTCCTTTGGGAGCAGACTGGTACAGACAGATGAAGTACAAGGATTGCAAGAAGGAGGGTCAAGAAACAGGAAAGGGAGTACCAAGGTACGCAAATGTTGTGACCAGTGCTACATGGAAGAAGTAGCCAAGCAGCCCTGTGTTTCATTACCATTGTTAGATCAGAATCTTAAACTGAACCTTTTGTTTTGGCCATAGCATGGATATCAAACCTACTGTCCTGGTCAGGAGGATGAGGGTGAAGGCACGTTGTTTACCCTACAGACTTGAGAACACTCAGGTGAAGGGACTGAGCTTTGCACTGTTACCATGTAGCTGCACCTTCTAGGTGTGATGGCTTTGGCAGCTGCCTATTACTTCCTAATGTTTAAAAACAAGTTGAGCTTTTTCCAGCCTTGCTGAGAAAAGATTGACAAGGTGACACAGAATATGAATTTGCACTGGTTTACATACCAACCTAGCAAGGAGACCATTCCACACGTCAACCAGTTAAGGTCCACATAAGCCACGGTGCATTTCACGTACCAAGAATAGGCATGATCTGTCTGCCTCTACCAAAATGACAAAATCACCAAGAAGCAGGCCCAGGTCCAGGCATCCCCCTGTTTGCACAATAAATAAAGCAACATTCCCCTGTGTCTGTGATTTGGATGACTTGTTTGTACCTGAGTGAGGAGCGTTGGTTCTGGCTGCTTCTTGCCATCACTGTGGGTGGGTGGAAGCTCTCTGGAAAACTGCAGGATCTAGGTGCAAACAAGCTCTGTCGCCAAGGAACAGAGGCTCCAGGTGAAACTGACAAGGCTGCATGCTGGGTGGGAAATGCAGGGAAGAGGGGCTGGCTGGGCAAGGCTGCCTGGGGACCCAAGCTAGGACACACTAGTGAAAACTCAGACTTCTTGGCCCAGGAGTTCTCCTCCCATGAAGTACTGGCACTAGCACTGGGGTAAGACATAGCTAGTGCAGAGGACAGGCAAGAAATAGTGCTTAGAAATGAAATCTGCCCTGATTACCCTTTTTGAGATCCCAGGCAAGTTTATTGGGA